TTCCTCACCACGACTGACCGAAGCAACGCCCTCATTACTGAGGATGAGGCCCCAATCCGTCGATCCAACTCCCGCTCCATCCTACCATSACTCGTGAACAAGACACCCAGATAAACTCCTCCACTTGAGGCAGAGACTCTCCCCCTCAAAAACTAATACATTTARAATTAATTACACTACACTATATTTATCTGTTAAAGAAATGAACACATTTACATTTTCTATATTCTGCTTTTTTATTTAGGAGAAATTCATACAGATTTTTAAAACTATATTGTATAAATGTTTTAGTACATATATTATGTTAAAGCTTTAGKTGTTTTAGATGCAATGATTCATATATGACTGAATTCAGCCTGAGAAGTTTACTAAATGTCCAGATGACAAAAATCCTCCATTCTCTGAAAAAAAAAGTTGGTGTAGCATAGCAAGGTGTGGTCACACTATCGTTTAGTCAAATAATCCATGTTTACGGCCCTTTTCATGAAGTTAATTGTATGTCTTTTCCAACCTTAGAGTGCTGTCTGTTTCTTTTTTTTTGTTTTGTTTTGATGTTTTACTGTATAATTAGTAGCAGCAATGACAAAGGAGTCAGCAGGGCAGAGGTTGGGTGRCTACGCCCTTGAGAGGCGCCTTATGAATAAACAGCTGGCGATAACTGGACTAGATCATTACTGAATCAAGTGATCTGCAGAATAATCTATTGATTTTTTGGTCTTTCTTACTTCTTTATTATTCTGTACCCCAGTATTGCAACATCAGGAGGAATCCACTGATGGATGGCATGCTCGGGCCTCTGCAGTCACCAAGAGTGTCGTATGTATCACAGATTCCACTAGTGAGCACAAGTTTCCTTTAATAAAAGATACTGTATGTGTCTCATGAAATGCACTTTTTCTTTTTTTTTACAACAGTTTTTGATCGTTTTTGGTGAAAACTACATAAATAGAGAATAGATTTACATTTTTTCCTTGGGGTTCAGAGGATGCACAAAAGTTTTGTCAGTTCACCATAATGAAAATGAAGTACAATAGTTTTAGGATTTTAACTTGACAAACAAATCCTAAAGTATAACCTGAAGCTTAACCAAACAACAGGTCACAATCCTCGAGTCCTAAACCTTAAAGGTAGAGATTAAAGCACTGTCTATCCTGTTAGTTGACTTTGCTATTGATCCTCTTGATTCTTTATTATGTACAGGAGGGCACATCACAAAACTGCTAATTGGCAATAATCTGTTTGTCAATAGTTCACGAGACTGCAGAATTTAGATAAGGAAAGTTCAAGTTTAAAATACATTATCACAGCCCCACTATTCCTGTGGGCTTTGCTCCTGCAATATAGCTTCAAGGAGTCTCATGCTCAGAATATTTTACAGTAGATTATTGATGTGTAATGGGTGATAGAAAAGGTGAGAAAGAAGGAAAACAACAAGAAGGTGATTGATATAAGTGTTGCACCAACAGGAAGGGAAACTTTATAAACTGTTCAAAGACCTAAAATCAAACTTTAAAATTARGCATTTTTGATTAAATTAGTTTGAGGGTAAAATAAATGACTGCAAAAATGGACGGTTTTCTGCTAAAAAGAGCTGTAATTGCATGTTTCCGATGATGCAAAAGGTGCTTTTTATTGATGCATGTTTCTGCCGCTGCAGCAAAAAACAAAAAAATAAAATAAAATAAAATGGAAAGAAATGTTTCACGTCATAATAGGAAACATTAAAGTTTGTTGCTTTAACAATAACCTTTTCACAACATATTTTTATTCTCAWACAATACATATTTCATGGTAAGAATAACTTATAGTTAAAAAAATCCTTAAATTTTACATTCCTGTCATGCAATAATTTTTTATGTTTGAACAATATGCACAATAATAACATAATAAATAAATTGTGATACTATGATTTTTTTTATTATAACATAAGTAAGGACTGTATGTTAAGGTGAAAATATTTAGCCAGAATTCGAACAATATATCGCGAGAACTTAAAATATGATGTTATAACATGAACWTGTTCAGACAGACATCTTTTTCGGCTATAAGATTCAAGAGGAACACACAAAGACATCTGCCATGGGTGCCATCTTGAAAAAAGCTGGCGTTTCTTAAAACAGCCCAAACAAAAATAATGTGATATGATTCTATATTTGCTAAGTGGCAGAGATACATTTCAGCACTTTTTATTATTATAAGGCTCGTTGTTTTAATTGAGCATTTTTTTTCCTGCTCACAGTGAAAATGTATCCRGTTTGAACCTCAGAGCTTTCTGTATGGAGACACTTTATATGGTGCCAGTGCGGTATTTCTTTAGCTGCTGTAGTTTTCTCCAGTATTCTTAATGAAATATAAAACAATTGGTATATCATATGTTGTTTCCTGTGGTTTTGCCAACTTATGTTCTCCTTAAGGTTTCCCTCACCAGCTGTTCTGTCACATCGAGACTGGAAGAGCTAAAAACTCCTCCATCCTCAAGAAGACCCAGCAAAGGATGTGCTTTCTGCCTCAACTAGTTTAGACTGCCTCGGTGTCGTTTACAACAGTCCTTGAACAGTTGATTTTACTTRTTGAGAAAATACTGAAGCTTGTTTTATTATTATAAAACTATATTATAGATACGACCTCTTTAGAACCTGCACAAGGTTGAGGGCATTGATTTATCAGTTGTCATCATGCTAAGCTTGCTAACTGTTCCACCCTCTGACTGCTGCAGGGGCGTGTCTTAGAGAGAGGCTTTTATACCAGAACACAGCCGCTGTGACGA